ATTGTGCGATATGATTTTGCGCCTCCTAATCCATCACGAGATTATGGAGACATGAACCTAGTTGTGGTTCACGAGGACTGTCCGGGAGTAGAGAACATTCCCMAGGTTAGGGGGATGTTCCTCCATATTGTACTTCATTTGAACGATTTGCATGGTCCGTTCGGCCTCCTTCATCATGTGAGAYGGGTCCGAGSGAATAGATTTAAYATYATTCGCTCGGAAYGTTTCGACGTCACCGCGTTTTATGACAAGGCTTGTGAAATCTACGAGTGYCTYTWCTAACAKGCGGCTCTTTCGGTGTGCARATGTYCGGCGGACGGCGAGATCTTACTCAGGYCAGATATCTACTGATTCRCGACACTACGGACGAGGAGCAGATCCGGCGAGCGGAGCRATTATTATTGGTTCGGGGTGGAGCGCCCACACGCTGGATTGGTTTTATCGGCCTGCTCAGCGATGGGCAGGGATTCTTTCCCAACTSGCGCGCGGACGTTCGCGCCAATGTGGCCCGACYTCCGGGAGAAGTTCRTGGATATACCTTGTACTTCCATCGCGCGAGCAACCTCCAATGCCTCTCTCGGGTCATTGTGAGCGTTAAAAKTACCCTATCCGGGAAGCGCTACGGCAWCATYCGGATTAAGGACACCACGACCACGCACCTTTTTCGGATGCGTCAGCCRTTCCGCGCCATAGTCTGGAAGCTCGACTCACGGATGGCTTCTCTCTATGATACGCGGAAGATCCGAGTTGTGCGAGGCGGACGTGTCTCCACCCTGACGTTTGATGACGAGGAGCTAACACGACTCGACCGGATAGAGGTTGACGCCCATGAGGGCCGACAGGTTTATCCCGGCTAAGCGCACCCTCTCAAATCTGGTGTCATGGTGAGTTGTCCTTATAGTAGGGTCACGCCTATGTGACTCTACAGGGGTAATAATAACAAAAAAACAACAACGACCTTGTGTAGGTAGGCCAACCAGATGGATWGTATCTGGATTGCCCCGATGATAGCACTATCATGCTGATGCATTGAGGGGTAATCAACCACTTAAAAATAAAAACCGAACACCTGAGGAGGTGTCGAGCAAAAGGGCGAGGGCGAGGTATCAGGAGATGAAACATCTCCATGCCAAGTATCTGGTGTTGGGGATGGGTACTTCGTCATTCGTGGAACGGAGAGAGTAATTATTGCCTAGGAGGACGAATCGACCGACAGAATTGTCAGTCGCTCCCCCGAATAGATGTATGCGGTACGACAATATGGTCGAGTCAGGAGTTCAAACACCGACCAGGAGCCAGATCACTTGATGATCTGCATGGTACCAGCGGTATTTATTTATATAAGTTGTGCGTGACGGATCTTCCGTCTTCGGACGGCAGCAGCATTGTCTCTCCGGTCATGCAAGCAGGAAATGATAACCTTGGCAGGTCGTCTCGTCAATTCGAAATGTTGGTTATGAATATGAGATTATAACGGGACTAGGATTATACATTGGATTTCATGTTTGGTCGAGGCCGTCCTAATCGACCGATGCTCGTTTGTACCGAAGAGATCAACGCCCTCGGGAACGGACGACGTTCGGGTCCACTTGGCGTTAACCAAGCGTCGCTATACTCCAGCGAGCGAGCAAACGCCCTCGGCTGACCTACCTCTGCAATTGCATGTAAAAGCTTTCGCACGTGGGTCGGTAGCTCGACGGGGATACGCCCCTAAGGGTGGTGGCAGCCCCTTAGGGAAGATAAGTTGTGCCCCGCGGAAACCTATCCTGTCGTAGGGGACTGCGGGATGTATAGCTGGCGCACCCGACTAGAGCGGCGAAGGGACAATGCGACCACGTTCGTCTCGGTGGTTCGCGGGATTATTTCTGCATCGTCCTAAGTTGTCTCTCGATTATGTTTTTCTAACTCCTGCGTGACATAGCCGGGAGGGCCCTCGTTCACGAGAGGGCCGATGCGCTCGACAGGTGGCGCCGTTGTCGGGGATGACGTTTAATTACCGTTGTCCCTGGTGGAACGACACCCGGGAAAAGGATGGTTATAGAGATTTTTAGTATTGTGTATTATTTGTTTGGATTGAAAGTAGCCAGTGGTTATTAATGTCTGGGAAAAGAAAGAAGGCAAGGTTTGGAGTGAATTGTTGGAATCTATTTGACAATTGAACATGTGGGTTTGTCGTGTTGATTCTCTCAAGATGATTGGAGGAAATGTTGATCCCGCAAATAGTAATGCAGGGGATCGTCGCAACGATATTCTGGAACTCGCACGAGCCATTCGTGAGGCTGATAATCAGAAGGCACAGTTGCCGAAGGTTCAAGTTCCCCTCTTCGATGGCACCAATGCTTCAGCATGGGCGGACAAGTTTGAACAATTGGGCAGTTGTTGCGAATGGTCGAGTGAGAAGATGCTTCAAATGGTGAAGCGATATTGTATGGTCGAGTACAAAGAAGAGGTGCCGGAGTTGGTGCAAGCTTCGCGCGACTGGCCAGACTTCAAGGCCAAAGTATTGGACAAGTACCAGTTGGGGGATCAACTGCGCGATCTGGCGGACTTACGGAAGGTTAGTTGTCGGAAGTTTGGTACGGCCAAGCAGTTTCTCACAGAATTTGAACGAGCCGCGCGCTTAGTGTCTGATCTTCTTGATAAGGATCGGTGCCTTATCTTCCTCGAAAGTTTTTCAGAAGTTGAGCAGCGAGAACTGATGAAGGACATGACGGGGCGATACGACTGGCCAAAGATAAAGGAAAATCTGTTGGCCGGAAGTTTCGACCAAATGCTTTACCGTCTCCTGAAGCAGCAAAAGGAGGACTGTGAGAAGGAAGGGGTAAGCGCGGACAAGGATCAAGCCGTTTACAAAACCCTGACTGACATGCTGAACTTGATGGCGAACATGAAGGAGGAAAGGCTAAAGCTACAGGTGATGATGGTCCAGACAAAAGGTGGAAAAAGGAAGGGCAAAGCACCCATTATGGAGGAAGTGAGTGGTAGCAGCAGTGAAGACGAAGACGAGGAGGAAGAAGAGCCTCCTCGAAAATTGACCAAAGCAGAACGGAAGGCCCTGAATCAAATACGAGGAGGGGAAGGCACTAGCAAAAAGCAACGAAACAATAATGGGGGAGGTGGACAAGGAAGCAACCAGGAACAGGTGGCGCAGACCCCTCCTTAGCAACCCCAACCTCAGGCAGGAGGCCGAGGCCGAGGTCGAGGTAGAGGACAAGGCACTGGGGGAGGCCGAGGAAATGGGGGCGGCCGAGGTAATTGGCAAAATTGGGTTTGTGAGTATTGTGGCCAAGATGGACATGGGATACGGTTTTGTCAGACCTTTACCAAAGATGAAAACGATAAGGTTATATATACGAATATCCGAGACGAGGTCTACGACTTTGAAGGGAACCTCATCGATCCCAATGTGGAGGGAGGAATGAAAAAGGAAGTTTTCCGACGTATGGGGCGAGATCTTCCAGCAACTTTTCGACTGGCTTCTCCGGAAGAAATCGAACAGATTAAGTTGGAAGTGGTGATGGAGTCATTGACAGTTGAAGATGCCAAGGCCGCAGGTGAAGGTTTGAGCGAAGGGCAGGAAGATACTGCATTGAGCCCAGTTGGTGGTCAAGAAGATGAACCGGTGTCGGGAAGCTTTTGTTCAAATATGCGCCGACATGAATGAAGAATGACCCGGGCTTCCCCAAGTTTTTCTGTTTGGAGGATGGGACAGAGACGGCCAAGGGGGTCTTACTGATGATACCGCATCGCAGCCTGGATCGCCGTCGGCAGGGCGTTTGATGGCCACCACAATCTTGTCCCGTCCTGCTTTCAAGCGACCTGCCACAGCAGGCATCCCACAAACTCGGAGGGCTCGAAGGCCGTCGCGGCCAAGGGCAGCACCGGAAGAAGGGCCAAGTCAGCCTCGGGAAACCGAGACGATTTCGATTGAAGAAGACGATGGCGAGGAGGATGAAGTGCTGCGAGCCGAGGATGAGCGGCAGGCCAAACAACGGGCCATGGAGAGGGAGCCAGAAACGGGCAAGGCCGATATCGGGGAAGGTGAGTTGAAAAGGAAGAAGCAGGTTTACACAATCCCGGTGGAGCAAGGGCTGGATATCGAGCAAATCGTGGACCGGATTCTGGAGAGCCAACGCGATTTGTTCACACTCAAGGAATTCTTGGCCGCGTCACCGAAAATCCGAGAGGAGTTCAGACACCGACTGTCAAGGAAAAAGGTGATGACGGTTAAGATGAGTGATATCTTTTCTCAAGAGATTAGTTGGGCTCCGCCTGGGACAAAAATGGACTGGCACTGTGTAGCTACTGGGTTGTAAAAAGTGCAAGTTGGGCCGTGTGAATATTCGGTGCTCATCGATGATGGGGCTGAAATGAACATTATACGGGAAAAAAGTCATGGGAGCAGGAGTCAACATCAATCGAGCAGATACTGGATTTCTGGTGGTTGCAAGTGGGATAACTCCCTTTTGCGGAACGGCGAGTGACGTGACGGTACAAGTTGGTAAAGTCAAAGTCCGTTCTTATTTCTATGTGCTACCCAGGGTTGAGCATGCTGTGTTGCTGGGCAGAGCTTTTCTATGTCGATCAGAATCCATCATCTTTAACAAGCACGATGATACTATGATCGTGGTTTTGTGTGACCCCGTATGTGGCTATTACGAGGTGCTGAGGTGTGAGAATACAGGACCAACCAACTCAAGGAACCGACTCAATTCGGGGTCCTATGCTTTCACGGAATCCGAAAGACTCAGAAGGGAGAAGGAATCCCTCGGAGAAGAGAGCGATCCCTAGGAATTTTCTCTTGCTCTACCCAACATCTCTCAAGCGATCGAGTTCGTTGCGATAGACTCGTCTGTGGATCCTAAGTTGGTCTAAACATTGACTGAGATTGTGGCACGAGAAGGCGGGACTGGTAGGATGTATCTTACCTATCGGCCCGACAGGTTCTCTGAGGGAGATGCATTGGCGGAGCCAGAAGCCAAGCAAGGGTCTTTTTTAGAGGTGGATGACTTGGAGTTGGAGCGAAACGTAAGTACAAGAGAGTAGGCGAGAAAGCTCGGTCAGTGCCCGTCTTGATCACGCAAGAGGAAGAAGTGTATTATAAAGAAGAAAGAGAATGGATTAGGATGAGGAAGGAAAATAGTATGAAGGCGCCATGTCGATTGACGGAGGAGAGGATTAAGAATATGATCATTGGAAAGGAAGGGTCTCTTACTGAAAAGGAGGTGGACTTCCTTGTCAGTGTCATGAAGAAAATTCATCTGGCTTACGCCTTCGATGATGACGAGCGAGGGAGGCTTGACGTCGACATGACTCCGATGATCAGGGTTCATACGGTACCTCACGAGCCGTGGAACATACGAGGTCCGCGTTATCCAAATCCGGATGATCAGCGTAGAGTCGTTGAATATTTGGATGGTAAGATTTAGACAAAGGTCGTGGATTACTCGTATGGACCATATGCGTCCCCTTGGTTTTGTTTTATCAAGCCAAATGGCGTATTGCGATAGGTGCAGAATTTGCAGAAGCTGAACTCAATGACGGTTCGTCGTGCCGGAGGACTTCCACATGCCGATCAGTTGTCTGAGTTGTGCGCAGGCAGACCTATCATCACTCTCATTGACTTGTACTCAGGATATGATCAATTCCGTCTCTACACAACAGACAGGCCGATGACGGCCATGCATACGCCGAGGGGATTAATTCATAAGTGTGCGGCGCCTCAGGGATGGACGAACGCTGTAGCGATTGTTCAGAGATATATAATGAGAGTCATGCAGCCACTTTGTCCGGACGTGACCTCACCTTATATCGATGACTTGGCCATACCTGGGCCGCGCGTGAAGGATGAGACGGAGGTGCTGCCAGGCGTTCGAAAGTTTGTTTGGGAGCACGTTCGTAACGTGGAGAAGGTCCTGTYYAAGTTAAAGGAGTACAACCTCACCGCCARCGGTGTCAAAWCTYGGCATTGTATGCGWGAGGCAACTATCTTGGGCTTCTTGTGCGATGAGAAGGGCCGTCGGCCAGATTGCAAGAAGACCAACAAGATTCTGGAATGGCCGACTCCGCTTAAGTCCATCACTGATGTGCGCAGTTTTTTGGGGACTTGCGGATTCTGGCGCATCTTCATTCGCAAGTTCGCCGCAAGGGTGGAGCACCTACGGAAGTTGGTGCGTAAAAATCAGGAATGGAAATGGGGTCCAAAGCAGCAGGCGGCAGTTGACGATATCAAGGCACAATTCCGAGAAGGAGGGTTGATCCTGGGGGCTCCGTACTTTGACAATGACCCGAATCGGCCCTTTGTGGTTGAAACGGATGCAGGCCCCACAGCATTGGGTGGAGTCCTCATCCAAAAGGATAGAGAAGGGCGCGAAAGGTCATTGAGATTTGAAAGTCGAACGTTGAATGAGGCGGAACGGAAGTATTCCCAATTTAAGAAGGAAACCCTTGCAGTGCTTCATTGCTTCAGGATCTTCCGAAACTACGTATTTGGAAGACGGTTCGTCCTGCGGGTTGACCTGACCGCCCTGGCGCAGTCATTGAAGAATTACTCTCCCTTGGATCCAACTATTGCTCGATGGTTGATCTATATCTGGATGTTCGATTTTGAGATCGAACGTATTGCGGGAACACAAAATCGAGCCGACGGATTGAGTCGGATCAAGTGGGACTCCGCGAAAGATCAGGCAGAAGACTCGGTCCCTGTGGATGGGTTTCTGGAGACGGACGAGCAACAACTAAGTATCTAAGTTTGGGAATACATCAGTAATGCGTCGCCCCGACCTAGGAAGTCTATCTGAAGTTCGCCGAGTTATTATCAAAAGTGTGCAGAGTTGGTGATGAGGGAACCTTTTTTTGAGGAGGATCCTTGGGGTGAACGGTCTGCTGAGCGGATGATGAGGTTGGCGTTGTCTGACCCAGTACAATTTTTGGAAGAACCTCTTACGATTGAAGAGGGTCATGAGCAGGCGACGAAGTCCTCAAGATTTCTGGGGGAATGGTGTTTCTTGTTAATTCGTTAATACAGGAAGATCACGGTAGATTAATGTTGGAAGAAGGGGAAGGCAGTGAGATCAAAGAAGCCTTTCGTGAGGAGGAATATGATGAGACTTATAAGAAGATTGGGCTTTGGTTGAATGGGGACTTGAATGAGGCAGAGATAGAGCCAGAAATGAGAGAAAAGGCAAAGGGTTTTGTCGTTCGACAGGGGCATCTCTTCAAAAAGTCTGACGATGGTACGCCTAAGAGAGTGGTGTGTGGGGTTCCCAAACAGTTGGATGTGATTGCGGCCCTACATGATGGAGTGGCAGGTGGACATCGATCTGCACGAGTGACCTTGAGAAAGATCCAACATCTCTATTTTTGGGATGGTATGGGTAAGATGGTGGCAGAGTTCTGCAACTCGTGCGTCCCCTGTCAGAGACGTTCGAATCTCCGCTATGTTGAGCCACTTAATCCACGATATGTGGTTGAGCCAGGGGCGGTTGTGCACCTCGACCTAGTCGTTATGCCACCCGGACTTAATGGGTACAAGTACATATTTGATGCGAGAGACAATCTTACCGGGTTTGTTGATGGGCGTGCAATCCGTGAGCAAACCGGAAAGATTTTGGCGGAGTGTATCGAAGAGTTTTACCTTTGGTATCCATTTGTTCGGGAATTTGTGATGGATCGAGGAGGTGAATTTCGGGCAGAAGAGGTTCAGGCTCTTATAAAAAGACTAGGAAAGAACTATAGTTACACCACTAGAGCACATCCCCAGGCTAATGCTCCGGTCAAACGTGGGCACGCCACCTTGACTAATTTGCTAGCCAAATGGTGTGCGGCAAGCCGTCAGCATGGCCCGTCTATCTCAGAGCTGCCATATTTGTTGAAAATATAACCGTAAAACGGACTACTGAATATGCTCCGGTTACGTTACGGTTTGGACAACATGCTACATTTCCAATCGAGAGTTTCCTAACCACATGGCAAAAATAGGATAGGAAAGTCAGGCTTTCTGCAGAAGAATTGTTGGACCTGAGAGCCAGACAGATAAAAGTTATTGAGGAAAGAGTTGTAGAGGCTGCTGCGTCAACTGCGGACAGCAGACGGGCGGACAAAGTTAGGTGGGATAAGCAACCCCGGGTTACGAAGGAACCATTGGAAGTGGGGGATATTGTCCTCCTCTATGACTCTTCTCTTGAAAAGCAGTGGTCGAGGAAATTAGATAATCGATGGATGGGACCATATCGTATCATTAAGAAAACAGAGCATGGGGCATACGAGATTGAGGAGATGGATGGAGCATGTGGGCGAGATTGGGTTTCGGGCTCACGCTTGAAGAAGTTTGTTCATAGGGACTAGGTAATGCCTTACTTTTCTTAACAGACATTGATACCACAGGCTAACCTGATTTTGAAGTATTTGTAAGATATACTTTGCATGTAATGGACAGACACATATGGACTTGTAATGAATTACTTGTTGACGTCATTTTTGTCATTATTCTTCGTTCTTGAGCATAATAATTGATGTGCATAATAATTTTTTTCAAGCCTTGCAAGGATGATTCTCTGAGCATACATCTCTTTTATTTCTTATGTGGAATGAGTCTGTGTAACCGGTTGAACGCCGTGAACGCGCGTTCATGTTCAAACGCGCGCGTTCAATCCCCCGTGCCCCGTGTTCAATCGCGTTTAAGCGCGCTGCGCACGCGCGCGCAAGAAAAAATTGAACGTGGTCCCGCGGGGCGTGCTCGCGCGACTGGGGCAGCGGGTTGGTGGTCCGAGTTCAACAAACCGCCAAAGTGCGAAAACCGCCCCCCGGGACCACCACATACACCCCCCC